ATCTTTAAAAAATCCACGCCTCTGAAAAAGTAATCTTTAAAAAATCCACGCCTCTGGTGGACCTGAAAAAGTAATCTTTAAAAAATCCACGCCTCTGGTGGACCTGAAAAAGTAATCTTTAAAAAATCCACGCCTATTTGTGGTCCTTGAAAAAATATTCTTTAAAAAATCCACGCCTATTTGTGGTCCTTGAAAAAATATTCTTTAAAAAATCCACGCCTATTTGTGGTCCTTGAAAAAATATCCACGCCTATTTGTCTTTAAAAAATCCACGCCTATTTGTGGTCCTTGAAAAAATATTCTTTAAAAAATCCACGCCTATTTGTGGTCCTTGAAAAAATATTCTTTAAAAAATCCACGCCTATTTGTGGTCCTTGAAAAAAAAAAATCCACGCCTTCTTTAAAAAATCCACGCCTATTTGTGGTCCTTGAAAAAATATTCTTTAAAAAATCCACGCCTATTTGTGGTCCTTGAAAAAATATTCTTTAAAAAATCCACGCCTATTTGTGGTCCTTGAAAAAATATTCTTTAAAAAATCCACGCCTATTTGTGGTCCTTGAAAAAATATTCTTTAAAAAATCCACGCCTATTTGTGGTCCTTGAAAAAATATTCTTTAAAAAATCCACGCCTATTTGTGGTCCTTGAAAAAATATTCTTTAAAAAATCCACGCCTATTTGTGGTCCTTGAAAAAATATTCTTTAAAAAATCCACGCCTATTTGTGGTCCTTGAAAAAATATTCTTTAAAAAATCCACGCCTATTTGTGGTCCTTGAAAAAATATTCTTTAAAAAATCCACGCCTATTTGTGGTCCTTGAAAAAATATTCTTTAAAAAATCCACGCCTATTTGTGGTCCTTGAAAAAATATTCTTTAAAAAATCCACGCCTATTTGTGGTCCTTGAAAAAATATTCTTTAAAAAATCCACGCCTATTTGTGGTCCTTGAAAAAATATTCTTTAAAAAATCCACGCCTATTTGTGGTCCTTGAAAAAATATTCTTTAAAAAATCCACGCCTATTTGTGGTCCTTGAAAAAATATTCTTTAAAAAATCCACGCCTATTTGTGGTCCTTGAAAAAATATTCTTTAAAAAATCCACGCCTATTTGTGGTCCTTGAAAAAATTCTTTGCAAATCCACGCCTATTTGTGGTCCTTGAAAAAATATTCTTTAAAAAATCCACGCCTATTTGTGGTCCTTGAAAAAATATTCTTTAAAAAATCCACGCCTATTTGTGGTCCTTGAAAAAATATTCTTTAAAAAATCCACGCCTATTTGTGGTCCTTGAAAAAATATTCTTTAAAAAATCCACGCCTATTTGTGGTCCTTGAAAAAATATTCTTTAAAAAATCCACGCCTATTTGTGGTCCTATTTGTGGTCCTTGAAAAATTATTCTTTAGGAATCCACGCCTATTTGTGGTCCTTGAAAAAATATTCTTTAAAAAATCCACGCCTATTTGTGGTCCTTGAAAAAATATTCTTTAAAAAATCCACGCCTATTTGTGGTCCTTGAAAAAATATTCTTTAAAAAATCCACGCCTATTTGTGGTCCTTGACGCCTATTTGTGGTCCTTGAAAAAATATTCTTTAAAAAATCCACGCCTATTTGTGGTCTTGAAAAAATAAAAAAAATCCACGCCTATTTGTGGTCCTTGAAAAAATATTCTTTAAAAAATCCACGCCTATTTGTGGTCCTTGAAAAAATATTCTTTAAAAAATCCACGCCTCTGGTGGATCTGAAAAGGTGGTCCTTGAAAAAATATTCTATAAAAAATCCACGCCTTGTAATGGTGGTGGTCCTTGAAAAAATATTCTTTAAAAAATCCACGCCTTGTGGTGGTCCTTGAAAAAATATTCTATAAAAAATCCACGCCTATTTGTGGTCCTTGAAAAAATTTTCTTTAAAAAATCCACGCCTATTTGTGGTCCTTGAAAAAATATTCTTTAAAAAATCCACGCCTATTGGTGGTCCTTGAAAAATATTCTTTAAAAAATCCACGCCTATTAGTGGTCCTTGAAAAAATATTCTTTAAAAAATCCACGCCTATTGGTGGTCCTTGAAAAAATATTCTTTAAAAAATCCCACGCCTCTGGTGGTCCTTGAAAAAATATTCTTTAAAAAATCCACGCCTATTAGTGGTCCTTGAAAAAATATTCTTTAAAAAATCCCACGCCTCTGGTGGTCCTTGAAAAATATTCTTTAAAAAATCCACGCCTATTGGTGGCCCCTGAAAAATATTCTTTGAAAAATGCACACCTATGAAAAAACCAAGAAAAAATTATTTCCAATTTCCTTGTATGTTAAGCCGCAGGACATCAATTCCCAGTAAAGACAATTCCATATTAAAACTTTTATGTTCAAACACCAAATACCAAAAAACTCCCACACTTTGCTGTTGCTAAACAGCAAATTGACAATTAATGTAACACCTTTCACTTTTGTGGGTAACTCATAAAAATTCGAAATCATCATTTCATTCCATGACATTGTAATTGATTTCCATTTTAATAGATCCCGAAACAAAAAAGGAGGCGTCTGAGGCGGCATGTGCTCGGTCGATCGGTCAATGCTAACTAACCATGGTTATGGTGTTGGTGGCGGTCCATTTGCTTCACTACTGAAGCATTGTTTTCTTTACATAATTTAACTGGCCAATAAATTATTTAATAAATACGTTGGCCGAAGTTGTGACATTTACCAGAAGGCATAATTGTCTACGACCAAGAGGCCGGCAGGCCGAGTGTCCCTAACCCCGTCGTCTCTCTTCTGAGGTCTTAGCATTGGCAGTCCATAACCCTCCTCAAGAGTTGGAGCAATTGAAAAACAACACCGAATAGCCGACCAGCAACCAAAAAATCATTGTCGAGTCAAAGATAATGTCGGCGGTACAGCGCCAGAGCAATGTTGGGCTGTCAGTGCCAGAGTACATCGTAGTCGTCGTCCAACTAAGATAAAGGCCATGTCAAAACAGAAACATAATTATTTCCAATACAATTTCACTCAATAAAAAATGTTTTCCAACAGCCATCCAGCCAGCAGATCCTTTTCTTCCCCCTATCGACCGCTTTCCATGCCCAAAAGAAAACAAAAAACGACGAACAAAAAAGGAAAAGTGCGTTGGTGGTGCGGTGATTTTTAGGTTCCTTTTAAGTTATAATCTCACCGACTCCTTCCTTCCATAGTGCTAAGGCGACAGCTCCCCAACTGAAGTTGTAACTCTGTGTTCGCGTTGATGCCGCATGAGGTGGCATGCCATGCGGATTGACTGTTACAATAAAATCGTTTTTTAACAATGAATGAATGGAAATAAGCAAACGTTTAGCTATGCAGCCAGCCAGCCCTGGTGTCAGACGGACATACAGACCAGACCATTATAAAGCCACAGAGTCGTTACCACTGCGCACCAGCCACCTTACACTGACATTGTATGAATACAAAAAAATAATAAGAAAATGAAGAGAAAAACATCACCAACTTAGGAAAATTCGAAAGTAAAAATAAACTAATCTAAAAAAAGCGAATAAAAGAAATATTTAGAAATACCGCATAAAAATCACACGCTTTAGTAAAGGTGGCGTAGGTTGATCTTATAAAATCTTAACACTCTACGGTAATATTTAAAGCAGACAAAAAACAAAGAGAAAATGCTCAGAGAAAAATCGGCATTCGATCTGAGATCTTTAATATTCGGATATTTAAAAAAATATTATTTTTTCAAGGATCACCAAGAGGCGTGGATTTTTAAAAAAATATTTCTTCAAGGACCGATACAAGGCGTGGATTTTTAATGATTTTTTCAAGGACCAATGGTTAGGTTAGGTTGAAAAGAGGGGTGGATGATACCGCCACATGTCCAACATAAGATGGACATACACATAAGCCAAATGAGGAAGTTGGTATTAGTGAAAGCTTAGATTAAAACTCCTTCAGTCTTCTCCGCTTCACACCGCTCAGATCGGTTAGTCCGTGAAGAGTGTCATTTCCCTATAATTGTTACCGAAGGCTTGTAAATGCTGTGCAATGGCACAGGAAATGTTCCAGCGTTTCACTGTCTTTCCCAGAGTTGCTGCAGCTCCGCCGTTGTTGGTGGTATAGGCGAGTCGGACGGGAGATATACTGAAGCCAGGTAAATTTTACCGCTCCTTGTTTCAGTACAGTGGCGTCCGATGTTGACAAATCTGGGGAGAATAGAAAGACGGACGAGAACCCGTATTTGCATAAAAGAGTTGGTAATTTATATGGCTTAATCCAGAGACCCTGTTTTTAATTGTCCAAAGTTCCTAGATCAGTCCGATGTGTATTTTACCTTTTATTATTTTTCCATCAGGGCCAGGGTTGCCGTCTCGCTCCGATGGAGGTTAATCTAGATGACTTCTATCAATTGTCCTCCAGTAACCGGTTTTCTTGGGAGTTCGTGATCTTCTCCCTGAATCCCTCCTCTTTGGCTTCATCGTCTCCAAACCTTGCCTTCCCGATTATAATGTAATGGGCTTCCTTCTTTAGTTTACCGGACGCACTAGTCCCGTCGATCACTACATATCAGAGCTCAATAGAGTTTCCTGGCATAAGACGGCGGCTCGTTACCATCTGTTGCTGTCATCTTCCTTTTTTGCAAATACCGGTTGGTCCTTTTGGGATTCCCGGTCTTTGCGAAACATTCCGACCCGCACTCGCCTTTCTGATATCAGAGCCAGCTTCGTCTGCCCTCGTCAGTGGATTCTGGTGGCAGTGTCCTTTGACGTTGGTTTGACTTAGCTTTCTCTTTCTATCAGTCGACGGGAAGCTTCTTTTCTTCTTGGCAGATTTGACAGTCGCCTGCTCATCCGGAGACTTTATCCTCTTGGCCGCTTCCCCAGAAGTGGAGGGAAGGTCAGGCTTTTGAGCCTCTGTCTACATCTCGCCCTTTTTGTTCATCTGTTCATGCTGGCCAACTTCCGGCTTTGTGCACCAGACAACTGCTTCTTCCTGGTTGTGAGTTTGGCGATATCCTTACTCACCTCCTCTACCATCTTTTCAGCCTCTTCGCTCTTCCGGCTCTCCAAGACGGTTATGTTTGTTTGATTATCATGATCAGACTCAGAGTTCGAAGTTGAGTTCCCTTCTGTCTCTGAAGGCTGGGTCGAGATTGCTCTTCTCCTGTGGTTCCTCAACTTCGAGTTGGTGTTGCCCGAAGGCTGGGTGCTTGTAGCTACACCTTCGACTACAGATACCAAGATACACACATCTGTAGGAGATTGTTGATCACGATCGCGGGATGATGACAGGGCCCTGTCCGCGGGGACAGAAGCCCTGGTCAAACTATTTCATTACCTACAGCATACACTGGTTGTAATAGATTAGTAGGAAACTAACAAACTCCCTCGGACCAATACAAGGCGTGAATTTTTAAGGAATATTTTTTTAAGGACCAATCCACGTCTCTTATGGATCTCTGGAAAAATATTTTTTAAGGACCAATCCACGTCTCTTATGGATCTCTGGAAAAATATTTTTTAAAACCTGTACACCTTGTGTGGAATCCTGAAAATACTGTTTAAAAACCCACGCCTTGTGTGGAATCCTGAAAATACTGTTTAAAAACCCACGCCTTGTGTGGGTCCTTAAAAAATATTTTTAAAAATCCACGCCTTGTATTGGTCCGAGGGAGTTAAAAAATTCTCGCATTCAGATTCAGGTGTGAATATTGCTATATAAAAAATTATCAGTTTTGTTTGCTTTGGGAATTTTTTTTTCAAAATTTTTCCTCGAGTGTTAATCCTCCTTAATATCATCAACCCGAGTCACTAGTTAATGTAGAAATATTTTTTAAGGACCTATCCACGTCTCTTATGGATCTCTGGAAAAATATTTTTTAAAACCTGTACGCCTTGTGTGGAATCCTTAAAATACTGTTTAAAAATCCACGTCTTGTGTGAGTCCTTAAAAAATATTTTTAAAAATCCACGCCTTGTATTGGTCCGAGGGAGTTAAAAAATTCTCGCATTCAGATTCAGGTGTGAATATTGCTATATAAAAAATTATCAGTTTTGTTTGCTTTGGGAATTTTTTTTTCAAAATTTTTCCTCGAGTGTTAATCCTCCTTAATATCATCAACCCGAGTCACTAGTTAAGGTAGTAACTTGTTGGTTGCCTTTTTTGGCCAATCCGACCCGACCGCCAACACCACACCACACACATAGAGACGATGTGCCCAAAAAATATTATTTCGTTGGGATATTTTTATTGTTGTTGATTTTCGATTTTATTTCTTTCCTGGGGGTTATTAAACAAATGCAAAACAAGCGATAATAACTGCAACATAAAACATCAACTCCAACACCATAACATTCGACGACTCCACTCCAAGTGAGACAGGTAACAACACTAAAAAACGCAACACCAACAACACGAAGATCGACACCGACAGTATGGGGAGCAGTCACACATTTTCTTCATATGTTTCCCACCTACCCCCTCCTTTTGCGACTTTTGTGTGCATAAATTTAAATAATTTATTGAATTTTTTGCAATGCAATGCAATTGCAATGGTTTTCAATTCAAAAACCCTTAAGCCAATCATAAAGACTTGTAATGAGTTTTTCCAAATTTGCTTGGTCGTCTTCCTCCATCTGCTGCTCCCGCTCTCCACCCCCACCCACCTGGCTTTACTTTCAATTATTATCATCATTTGTTTGTTTGGTTTTTGAGGTGGCAAACTTTTGATCTCATTGTCATGGGAAATGTCATGATCCAAAGACATTTTATACGTATTTCACGACTAGGTAGGTGGGGTGGGGTAGGCCGGCCGGTCGACTCTTGTATTTACCATAACCGTAACCATTTCATTTATTTTATTGTTGTAGTTGCAGGCATTTTTTGTTTGGAATATTAAGGAAATACACGACAAATGCTAGGCTATGTGGGGATTTCCTTCTTATGGGGTTTGTTGTCTTCATTTATTTTCATTTTCATTTTTTTGCTTTATTAAATATTAATGGATATTCAAAACTATATTTTTTTGGCAAGATATCGATATGAACTGTAATAATGTTTGGAATACAAACATTTTTTATTTGTAGAAGAAAGTGAAAATGAAAACTCGGGATAGTTATGTCAAAAGATCAGTTCCATCAGATGGATAAATTGCAAATGAAATCATTTGTTGGAGATCTTTTTTTGGGTGGAAAAAGAGTTATGAATGACAAATAAATGTGGTGGGCAGGACAAACAACAAGTACGGAAGAGATGGAATGTGTGAGTTTAAGGATTTGATAACAAAAATGCCAAACTACATCAATAGGCGTGGATTTTTTAATAACAACTTTAAGGACCACAAATAGACGTGGTTTTTTAAAGAATATTTTTTCAAGGACGACCAACATAAAGAAACATCTTACAACGGCATGAGGTTGATTGACTTCGCGGCAGCAAAAAACATGGTAGTTAGCATCACCATATTCAAGCATCTCGATATACACAAGGCAACCTGGATTTCTGCGGCTACAATGCGGCTTCAAAACTGGCAAATCCATCAATGACCAGATTTTCACTCCTGGAAAAGACCCACGAAAAACACATCGACACATACCACCTATTCGTCGACTATAAAGCCGCATTTGACAGTCCTATCCGTTCAGAGGCGTTTAAAGCCATATATATGCAGGATAACTTTAAGAGGCACAAGATCAGCAGTTAAAATCGGAAAGGACCACGGACCCCAAACGGGCGTGGATTCTTAAACAATATTTTTTCAATTACCACCAATGGGCGTGGATTATAAAAGAAAAAATTTTCATGGAGTTTTTTACATTTGACACACCATGAGGACTAAAAATAAATTTTTGCAGTCAATTCAGTTGAAAAACATATTCAAACTCTCTAAAATACTGAAATTCGAGAAGTACTGTTATATGGGGTTTGCCATAAAAAGTCGACCAATATTTTGGTAGAAATATTTGGAAGCCATAAATGTCAAATATGTTGCCATTCAGTTGAGAAACGTGTCCAATATTCTCAAAATGCCGAACATTTTTGGTACCGATATATGGGGGACCATCCCGGAACTTGGGTTAATATTGATCATTTCTGCTAGGAATGACATTCCTTCCCATTGAAATACTAAAATATAGGCTATTCGTTTGAAAATATCCCCATGCTCCCTAAAATACCGCAATTTGGGAGGTATAATGGCCACCCTAAGAATTGATCCAAAATTGATAAGATTTAATAGGAACATTTGTTACACCATGAGAATAAATAATATACAATTACAGCTAATTTGATTGATAAACGCACTGAAGCTCCTAAAAATACCAAAATGTTGGAGGTACCGTTGTGTGGGAGCCACCTTTAAGAATTGAACCAAAATTGATAAGATTTAGTAGGAGAATCAAAAAAACAAAATTGCAGGCAATTTGGGAGACATATGGACATTTGGAAGTTACCGATACATGGCGGTTACCCTCAAAAGTTAATCTATATTAATAATATTTAGTAGAAAGATTTTCTACACAATTACAAAATATTAACCAAAATACGAAATTATATTCAATTTGATTGAAAAACGTACCCAAGCTCCCTAAAATACCGAAATTTGGGATATACGCCTAATGCCTGATGGGGGAGGTACCAGAAGGAGAGGGCAGATGGGTCTCACCTTGGTAAAGATAATTGGTTGTGCAAAATTTGGTCCAATCGGACATTCTATTCGCCAAATATTCAATGTATAAATTTTGAAAATGTGGAGGAGGTACCAGAAAAGCGGACCAATGGGTCTCATATTCAGACAGGGTCTAGGCGTGGTAATGATAATAGGTTGTGCAAAGGATGGTTCAAATCGGACATTCCATTCCACTGATATTGTATTTATAAATGTTGAAAATTTTGGCCCAGAAGAAGAGGATCAATGAATCAAATCTTCATAATTGATCTAGACTTGGTAAAGGTAATAGGTTGTGTAAAGTTTGGATGAAATCGGACATACAATTCACCTAATATAAATCACACCGTAAACACACCGAAATTAGGTCACCCGAAAACATTGAGATAAACTCAAATATGGATCCCATTAATTTAATAAATCTTATTAAAGACACAATAAACTCAAATCTGGATGAAAAGCTTAAAAATCTCGCCACAAAATCAGACATTGAAGAAGTTAAGATCGAAATAAATGCTATTAGTGGTGATATAAATATGCTTATGTCAGAAAATCAGATGTTAAAAGATGAGTTAAATAAAGTACAGATGGAGAATATTAAATATAGAAAAGATATAAACTGGCTGCAAAACCAACTAAAATCCAATAAAGTTATTATTAAAGGATTATCTAGCGCTAATAACGCAACGGTGGAGGTCAAACATATTTTTAAAGAAACATTAAACGTAACAACAACTATTAAAAACGTCCACAAAGTGTTTGAACGCAATGGTAAAATGACAGTCATAGTGCAGCTAGAAAATCAGCAAGCCGTCCAAGAAGTGCTTCGAAACACAAATAAATTATCTGGCTCTAATATATATATTGAACGCGATATGCCGCCTTGCAAGCAAGAGCACAAAAAGGCATTTATGTCTTTAAAGAAACAAATTTTATCTCTCAGTAAGAAGCACAAGGTTATGGTTAGAGAAGATAAATTGAAAATAAACGATCGTTGGTTTAAATGGAGTTTTGAGAACAAACTTGTTTGTGGAAAAAATGATGGCGAGGAAGTACTAATTGAATTATATGGAGAAGGAATAAAGTCAATCTGCCTAAATTATGATGAAATAAATAAAAATACTTATTCAAAAAACTAATAGATATTAATCAAGAAACAAAATCATCCAATATTTCCATTTTATACTACAATATAAATGGCTTCGAAAATAAATATCTTTATCCAACCTTTTTTAAATACATACAACAATTTGAAATATTTATACTGTTAGAAACACATTTGGAATTTGAAAAATCGGAAAGGGCTAGAAGTTATTTTATTGGATTTGATTTATTTTTTGATCCAGCTGTTCGCATACACAGATTTGGTAGAGCAATTGGAGGTCGGATAATCGGAATAAGCAGAGCTTTAAAAAATCGTGGTATTTCATGCAGTGTTATATATTCAGAGGAAAATTTATATATTAAAATGAGCAGTAAAGAAACGGTATGCTGCTTAATACCCCAATATCTAAGGCCTGCTACATGGGACAACGATTTTATGAAACTAAAAGAGTTCCTCCTTGCAGAAGATATCCAAAATCCTATAATTATAGGCGACTTTAATGTGAGAATCGGGGAATTAAATCAACATATTTGTACAATATACAAAGAAAAGTTTTACTCAGGATATGAAACCAGAAAATCAAGAGACAAAATTATTAATCAAAAGGGAATTAAGTTTATACAAATGTGCGATGATATTAATATGTTCATTTTGAATGGTGTTACCAAAGGAGATCTGGAGGGAAATTTCACATATCTGACATCATTAGGCCAGTCAGTAAATGATATTTGCGCTGCGTGTAAAGAAATTCTACAGAGAGTAGAAGAATTTAAAGTAGAAGACAAGGTATGGTCAGATCATTTCCCCATAATAGTAAGAATGAAGTTTAATGTCGAATCTGAAACTAGTAGATACATGTCACTCCTACCAAAATTAATGTGGAAAGAGGAGCATAAGCACGAATACCAGAGAAAAATCAATGAAAATATACGTAATATCACCAGTGAACTTTTGCTCAGTCTTTCAGACATTTGTGAAATTATAATTAAATGCTCTTCACAGCCAGCTACGAGGAAAAACCAATTTAGCTCAAAGCAAAAGTGGTATAACACCAATTGCAATAAAGCAAGAATAAAAAGTTTCAAACTATTAAAAAACTACAGGAAAACGAATAATATAGAAGACAAGGAACTTTATATAATTGCACAAAAAAACTATAAATTAGTCTGTAACAACAGCAAATCTGAATATTATAAAACAATCGCAAACAAGCTTAATTGTGTACGAAGACCTAAGGAATGGTGGAAATTGGTCCGAGAATTACGTAATCAAAATAACCTTATAGGCTCAAATGTTACGTCAGAGGAATTTAAATGCTATTATGAAGGTCTACTGAACACAAGTGGAGAATGCACTCTTATTTATTATGCACCTTCTTTAAAAGAGGATGTGGAGTTGGATGGAAGTTGTACTATGCAAGAATTACAGAAAATACTGTCAAAACTTAAAAACAACAAAGCACCTGGAGAGGACAGAATACCGTATGAATTTTTTAAAAATGGTACATATGAATTTCACACCCAACTTTTGAATGTATATAACAATATATTAACAAACGGACGGATTGATTCCTTGATTTCCAAAACAATCATATTTCCTATACACAAAAAAGGAGACCTTAACCAACCATCAAATTATAGAGGCATTTCTTTTATGAATTGTGCAGCCAAGATATTCATGGGCCTAATAAATGAAAGACTGTACAATTGGGTGGAAAATCATGATGTTTTAACTGAATTTCAAGCTGGTTTTCGGAAAAATTACTCGACAGCTGACAATATCTACAACCTAGCATCAATCGTAAACCTTAAATTTAATGAAAAGAAAAAGGTTTACTCCTTTTTCGTCGATTTCAAAGCTGCCTTTGATAATATATCAAGACAGGCTCTTATCTACAAGCTTTTTCAAATAGGAATATCGAATAAAATGGTCAAATTGATTGAAACCATATACAGCAATACCCAATCTGCAGTTTGGAATGGAAAAGAGCTCTCAGAATACTTTGCAACAACTAAGGGAGTTAAACAAGGATGTCTGCTATCCCCATTATTATTTAGCCTTTATATAAACGACCTACATGAGTACATTGAAGGCGGATTGTTTGTTGAAAATATTAACATACGAATTCTCCTATATGCAGATGATATTGTTCTTCTATCAGACGATATAAATGTGTTACAGACTATGATAGATAATTTGGAAATGTATTGTAAACTTTGGAGCTTAGAGGTAAACTTATCCAAATCCGAAATTATGGTTTTTAGAAATGGAGGAAGACCAAGTAAGAATGAAAAGTGGACTTATAAAGGCATCGAGATAAAGGTCACAAACGAATTCAAGTATTTGGGGGTTACATTCACCCCTAAGATGAAATTTCATAAGCATGTGCAGAGCAGATGTAATGAAGCAAAAAACGCAATAAATGCTACTTGGAACCAATTCATAGGAAGAACGGATGTAGTAATGAATGCGAAATGGAAACTTTTTCTAGCTGTCTGTAGATCCATACAAACTTATGCTGCACAAGTTTGGGGGTTCTCTTATTTCGAAGAGATAAACAAATTGATGAAATACTACTTAAAGAGAATTTTGCATGTACCAAGTTTTACACCAAACTATGTGCTGATGCTGGAAACTGGTGTGGAAGACACTCAATTTTACACTTTAGGACTTCACCTAAACTATTTAAGCAAAGCTATGTTCCAGTATTCAAACAAAAGACTTCCGAAGCAGCTATCAGAGCTTATACTTCGAAAAAATACGTTTTGGGCAAAAGAATTGAATGAATTGGCTCAACAGTTTAACATACCATGGTCACATATGATGTCGTCCCCAGATAATTGGAATATTTTCTGTACAAGTTTAATGAGCAACATAAAAACACGATTGAAGGAGGAAAGGTTATATAGAAAGCAAAGCAGTCAAAGTCTCCGAATATATAAACATTTGAACCCGGACAGAGCCCAACACTACTTAAACGAAAAATACACACACGAACAAATACGTTGGATATTCAAAGCTCGCAGCGGAATGATCCCTCTCGCATATAACACATTTCATTCAGAATCGACATCAAAAGTATGTAAACTATGTAATTTACATGCGATTGAAACACTGCAACATTTCTTAGGAACTTGCCCCGTTCTTCGAGAATTCAGAATAATATCTTTCCAAAAACCAATATTGGATGAAACGGAAATAATTAAAATATTGGATGGTGAAGATGATGCCGACTGGGATAACTTAACAAATTACTTGGAAAAAAGCTATAAATATCGCCTCTTTTTATTAAATGAATTCAATTAAATTATATTTTTATATTGAGTGACAGACGTTTTATTTAACATTGTCACAAACATATACAACTTCTTTATAATTTACGGTAAATATATTTTGTGAAATGAATTGTAAACATATTTAATCAATAAAGAAGTACTACTACTACTACTACTATAAATCAAATCGGATACTCCCTTCAAGAGTCTAACTGGGCCAACGTCTGTCGCCTCTTGCGTAAAAACTCTAAATTATTTGAAATGGATTTATTCCTAAGAAACTTAGGTTCTAAAATCGATATTTTCTTGAGGCACATTTTAATCATAGGAACCTGTATATACCTTCATTAGCCATAAGGCTGTGAGTATAAACATTTTCTTCCATTCCGCATTTGTATACCGTCCTATTGGATCATATTTCGAAAATCTTTCCGTAATAATTCTTTAAAAAAATCTGTCGTCCTATTGTTGTTGCAATTTAAAAAATCAGCTTCATCATGTTTATAAAAATAATTTCATCATATAAAAATAGAAATGAAAAACAGCAACGTGTTCGTTGTTCTCCGGCTTACCTTTCTGTTTTATCAGCTGAGGCATCCGCGGCGGCATTGTTATCATTAAAATCAGAATTGTCAACACGCTTTGTGTGTTCATTATCGTCGTTCTGGTTGTCAGCCACAATATTTGGCATATGCGGCTGCTGCCCTTGTTCTTCCGCCAATGCGTCGTCGTGGTCGTCGACCGCCCCCAAATTACCATGTTTACCGGTATTTGACACAATGACATTGTCATTATTAAGATTATTTTCACTAGATTCTAAATTACTAGTCTCCGACGGTGGAGACCTATCATTACTATTTCCATTATTGCTGCTATGATCACTGTTTGCATCCACTTGGCCGGTATTTACCACCTCCTGCACAACCGGCAAATTAAATAGATTTTGTTCATTTTGTCCCGGCACTTGATTGCTGGGCGCCGTATCTCCTGCAGGTGCATGACTGGGAGGCGTTGATTTTAGGCCAATTAACTTTTTCACTTTTTTATAATTTGGTAAAATATTTATGACTTTTGCACGACGATTTCCAGCGCCATTTAATGGCGGTTTGTTATTCTTTGATAGAGGGGATTCAGCTGATTTCGTGTTCTCCTCTCTGCCATCGACGCTCTCTGCATTATTATTCGTTGTTGTTGTTGTTACGCGAGCAGCAGCATTGGGGGAGTAATCTGATGCCAATGTGGCGTCATTTGTCTTCATATATTCAAGGGTCACTGTATGCTGTTGATGTTGTTGTTGCTGCTGTTGTTTTGCATTCTCCGAGGCAACAACATAAAACAGGAAGCAACTGCAACAAAGAAACAAGAAGACAAGAACAATAAATAAATAACAACTCAGCAAAAATACATTTGATTACAAACAGAACAACAACAGAGAGGCAGGCAGGCATGCATGGTATTGTTACAATGGGTTGATGGGGCGAGAGAGAGAGAGAGCGCACACACATGAACCCCACACAACCCATCATGAGTGAGAGATATCAATTTCATAAATAAACAGTACTCTCGCACTTGCTCCCTCTCTCTACCTCCGCCAAATCTTTTGCATTTGACAAGTATAGAAAGGCACACGAACCTACCTTGATATCAACGTTATGAACAGCAGACTCCAATGTGTCCAAAGCAAATTGAAACGCATTTTTGCTAACACAATAAGATGCTGAAGAATAATAACAACAACACTTAATAGATTTATTTTAATAAACAATAAATGATTTGCTTAAACGATTGCATTTTCTTGGTGTTTCACATAAAAATTGCAATTTTTTTATGTTGTATCTTTTTTTCTTCGCCTTCCTCTTCTTACTCTCTATCTCTCACCAACATACAATCACTCACTATCCACTTTTATTTTTTTTTTCTTTTCTTGATTTCACTGTTAAAACGCATTCACTTTGGCCAACTACCCGTATATTTTCATGATTCTCGTATATCTTGCCACAGCCATTAACATTTAATTTTTCTATTAAATATTATACAATTTCTTTGAAATTAATAAAAACAAAAGAAAATTTTATAACATTCGACACGACTAACAGGCACACACACGTCGAGTTACTTAGTCGCGTTTTGTAGCCAACTAAAATGTCAAATAAAATAAATAATAAAAAGAAATTCTGACAGTTTATTAGCAGGCAAAAAACGAATGTTGGAAGAGAGTGTGAGAGCGTTGAGAGATGGCAATAGTGTGGGGGGAAAACGATTGCATGTTTACGATTTGTTGTGTTATCGATAACAGAAAATACAAATTACTGACGTGTAGTTTTGGCTAGATTTTAATTGTGACCTTGTAGATGGCGTTATCTTTATGATAGATAAATTATCGTAATAGATAAACGAGATTGTGGAAACAAAGCGTGCAGATGGCCAAACTCATCGTGACACAAGTAAAAATGAGTCGTTTATTTTGAAAGTGGTTTAAGTCCATTTTGTCTTATATTGAGGGAACAAGTTGAGTTTAGGGGCTCATTTCGAATTTACTACAGGTAGGTCGCGTCTCCATGATCACGAAAATATAAGACTTTCATGGGGGGAAAGTCCATACTTCCAAAGAGCAATGAAATATTCTTGAATTAAAAAACTAATTTTAAACATTTTTTAAGGCTTAAATTTAGTGTAGGATCTCACCTCCGATACATCCGTCAGGACTAAAGGCGCTATCGCTCTTCTATAAAAAGACAGAAAGCTCTTCTATACGAAGAAGACCTAAAGCTCTTCTATACGAAGAAGACCTAAAGCTCTTCTATACGAAGAAGACCTAAAGCTCTTCTATACGAAGAAGACCTAATGCTCTTCTATACGAAGAAGACCTAAAGCTCTTTTATACGAAGAAGGCCTAAAGCTCTTCTATACGAAGAAGACCTAAAGCTCTTCTATACGAAGAAGACCTAAAGCTCTTCTATACGAAGAAGACCTAAAGCTCTTCTATACGAAGAAGACCTAAAGCTTTTTTATACGAAGAAGACCTATAGCTCTTCTATACGAAGAAGATCTAAAGCTCTTCTATACGAAGAAGGCGACCTAAAGCTCTTCTATAAGAAGGCCTATTGCTCTTCAATACGAAGAAGACCTAAAGCTCTTCTTTACGAAGAATATCTAAAGCTCTTCTAGTGGAAGACTTAAAGCACTTTCATAAGAAGAAGGCCGTTAACTCGTCTCATTTGGAAAAAATCTTCGCCTCTTATAGAAAAAAGAAGACTCTTGCAGACCTTGCTGCACCTCGATCCGTCAGACTTTTGTCGATGTCGGAGAATATTGTTCATTCGACGACGATATTCGGCCCATATATCTTCCGAAGAATTTTTCTATCAAACACTCCAAGAGCTGCCTCATCAGCATGCGCAAGTAACCATGATTCAGGTCCATACAACAGCGCGGGTAGTATCAGCGTCTTGTAGAGTGTGTGCTTTGTCTGGCCTGAGGTGGTTTTGATTTTTAGTTGCTTACTCAGACCATAGTAGCATCTGTTGGCCAACACTATTCATCTCCGGATTTCTTTTGAAAATACGTTTTTTCTCTCTCCATTTCTCCCGATAATTCTATCCCGTCCTATACACATCAGTAGCATTACGCCCTTTAGTTCATTAAAGAAGGAGAATAACTTCACTTCTTCCAGAAAAAGGACTACAGCTTTTACTGATGAAGGCCTTCAGCCTTTCTATAAAAAGACTCTTCTCGAAGAAAACCTAAAGACAAAAAGATCAACAGCACTTCCAAAAAAAATCTTATTTATCGGTAATTATCGACACGATTTCTAGATACCTATGCAACATACAGAGATTTACAGTTTGAAAGTGACTGTTGATGTTATTAATTCATCGTGAATTTGAATGTTTCTCCAAATGAAGAAAGAAGAAGCATTATTCTCGCAATTCTCCATTCCACTCTCATTCTAAACAATTTGGGATTGTATTATTTTGAACACAACATTCGGATGCATTCTCCAATTTTGTTTTCATCATTATCTTCTTTGATAGCAAAAAAATCTAGCGCCTTTCACTTTTCTTATGGTTGCACGTTCTTTGTAAAAGATTGCATGTTCATGTACATTGTGAAATTCCCTTCAGAACATCTCATTCAAATTCTCGGTGAACAATGAACGACAAATCAACTTTAATTCATTGGTTCCGGAAAGGGCTGCGGGTCCATGATAATCCTGCATTGATGAGGATATTTGAAAAATCTCAAGGAAATCCAACCAAATATTCCATACGTCCAATATTTATCCTGGATCCCTCACTGCTTCAATGGCTGAGGGTCGGAGCAAATCGTTGGAGATTTTTACAAAGAAGTCTTGTGGATTTAGATAAACAATTGGTGGCGCTAAATAGTCGCCTCTATGTGGTCAGAGGTAATCCGAATAATGTATTTCCACGACTCTTCAAGGAATGGCAAACGGAGTTGTTAACATTCGAGGAGGATATTGAACCATTTGCCTTAAAACGTGATGCCGAAATTAAGACAATAGCTCGCGAACACAATGTAGAAGTGGAAACGTTTTGGTCCCATACGGTCTTTAATCCGTATACGGTAATGCAAAAGAATATGGGCAAGGCTCCGCTGACCTATCAAAAGTTTTTGGGCGTAATAGAGAAAATGAAAGCGCCCGAGCCATTGGGAGTACCTGAGAAATTGAAGGAGAATAGTGTATGCAAGGATTCACTTGAAGAGGAGAATCCAAATTGTTACGAAGTGCCTTTGCTGGAGGATATGGTTAAAAATATGGCTGATTTGGGAGAGGAGAAATTTCCTGGAGGTAAGGAATTTGTAATAATTCCAAAAGATTATTTTTTAATAAGGTCTTGTTATTTATTCCAGGTGAATCGGAGGCATTGCGGCGCATGGAAGCCAGTTTGGCAAACATTCCTTGGGTAACATCATTTGAAAAACCCAACACCTCACCAAATTCCCTGGAACCATCAACAACAGTATTAAGCCCCTACCTGAAATTCGGTTGCCTTAGCTCAAGACTATTTCACAAGAAACTATCTGCCATCCTGAAGGCTCATCCAAAACACTCCAAGCCCCCAGTATCCCTTATGGGCCAGCTATATTGGCGTGAATTTTATTATACCGCAGCCACAGCAGAACCCAACTTTGATCGCATGATGGGCAACAGTATCTGCATGCAAATTCCATGGCAATGCAATGATGCCCACCTGGAGGCATGGACATATGGTCGCACCGGTTATCCCTTCATTGATGCCATTATGCGTCAGCTTCGCCAAGAAGGATGGATACACCATTTGGCCCGACATGCTGTTGCCTGCTTCTTGACACGCGGTGATTTATGGATATCATGGGAGGAAGGACAAAAAGTATTCGAAGAATTATTACTAGATCAAGATTGGGCCCTCAATGCCGGCAATTGGATGTGGCTATCGGCTTCGGCATTTTTCCATCAATATTTTCGTGTCTATAGTCCGGTGGCATTTGGTAAAAAGACCGATCCCACTGGGGCTTATATACGTAAATATGTTCCCGAATTAGCTAAATATCCAGCCGGAGCTATATATGAACCATGGAAAGTCGCCTTGGGTGATCAGAGGAAATATGGCTGCGTTATTGGGACGGATTATCCGCATCGCATTGTAAAGCACGATGTGGTACATAAGGAAAATATAAAACGTATGTCGGCTGCCTATAAGGTTAATCGGGAGGTTAAAACGGGAAAAGAAGACCCGCAAGATGGTGTCGATGCGAAGAAGAGAAAACGAGAGGCTGGAAATGGTGGCAGTGGTGGTTCGAAAAGTAAGAAGGCAAAGAAATAAGGGGTATTACAATTTATGAAACACTTGTCGCCTGCAATTGAAATGCACCATTTTGGACCATGGAACTAGTTTTATGATAGATATACAAGAATCTCGAATTTTTTTAAATTGATTTTATATTATTTTTTTTATAAAATTTGTTATATTTTGAAAATGTTTTATAACTTGTTACAATTAAGTGGAAATTAAAGTTCCTGTGGAGGGAAATATAAAAAAATATATTTACAAGAAGACCAGGAGCTCTTCTATAAGAAGTCCTAAAACTATTCTATAATAATATCTAGAGATATTTAGAACTCATATATAATAAGACCCAGAGCTCACCTATAAGAATAACTAGAGCTCTCATATAAGAAGACCTGAAGCTCTTCTACAAGAAGATCTAGAGTTTTTCTACAAGTAGCTCTAGAGTTCTTCTACAAGGAGTCCT